TACATGAGGCGAGGGGCTTCGGACCTTTCCACGGAGGAAGGCTGGCATCTTTTGAGATTTGACAAAGAAAATCTAATCAGGATGGCATCTGAGGAATGAAGGCTACAGCGGACATTTTATCCCTCCCGAGTTTGGAGCACCGTAACCTCTTCCAGGCTGTTACAGCCTCACTCACCATGAAACATCTCGTCCAACATGGGATTCTAAAACACGGTAGCAATGAGAAATTAAAAGTGCTTTGCCTGCTTTATCACCAGCATTGTTGGACGTGTGGCTGTCATTACTGGAGGATTCAGAAGGCTCCTTCCAGCTCTACAGTTCTAAGGTTATTACCGAGGGAGGGCTACTGGACCCTGCATTTTTTTTACTTTTGTCCGCATAAGCAAAAGCAAAGCGAAGCATGCTGCTTATATACTGCCCCATAGTCATTAAAGCACTCTGGGTGGTTTACAATTAAATTATGCAGGCTGTAAATTTGCACCCACAGCAAGCTGGGGTACTCATTTTACCGACCTCAGAAGGATGGACAGCCGAGTCAAATTTTGAGCCAGCTACCTGATCCTTTTGGGACTGAACTAAATTCATGAGCGATCTTGACTGCAGTACTGCTTATATACTGCCCCATAGCGCTACAAGCACTCTCTGGGCGGTTTACAATTTAATTATGCAGGCTACACATTGCCCCCCCCCAGTGAACTGGGTACTCATTTTACCGACCTCGGAAGGATAGAAGGCTGAGTCAATTTTGAGCTGGCTACCTGGGATTTGAACCCCAGGTCGTGAGCAGTTTTAGCTGCAGTACAGCGATTTAACCACTGTGCCACGAGGTTACTGCAGTTTAGCCTCTATGCCATGAGCTCACAATGCTCCTAAAGGCAGTTGTAGTGCAGACTACAAAGTGGGGAGGAGGGAAAGCACAGCCAGGGTGGTGCACCCTGCCCAAGAAACCCGCACGTCTTGCTTCAAGGACAAGGAATAGCAAACGTACCTGGCTGATGCTGTCTATACCAGCTTGCGGGCACAGGCTACTGTGCCAGAAAGAACTTGATCTTGGCTTGAGGATGTCTCGTATGAAAGGCTGCAGCTCTGCCAGTGCTGGAGAAACACATCCTGTCCGCTGGTCCGTAAGGTTGGTGCCAATTCATTTCACTTACAGGCTTAACCTCCTTCCTTCACTCCTCTAAGATCACATCATTATTTTCAGCACCCGACTATGACCCCTCTCTTTAAACGACCCCCTTTATTACGCATCACAAGCCAAGAAGCAGAGCATTCTGGTTCATGCATTCATTGAGCCTGTTAACATTAAAATAGTGAACATGAACCTGTTTAGATAAAATAAGTGACTTCTGCATTAAATCACCTTGAAAGTAACACTTCGAATGCAACTATCTTAACACTAAAAGGTGATTTTCAAAAATGGATCTTTCCCCTCCTGTTTAATGCAAAACAACCATTGTTTTAACGTTAACGTATCAAATTCACACCTCGCTTCCAATCGCTTCTCAGAAGGTTGAAGGCTCAGATGATGTGACAGATCCCCTCAAAAGGAGGGACAAAGGAGGATACATTTTTGTTCAAGTTTTATTTGTTCCAGCCCTCCTCCATTCCTGTTTCAGGAGGTGTTTCTGGATCTGCTGGTGAAGTCTGTGAAACGTCCATAGAACACAAGTGCATTTCGTACACATGCCTCCTCGCACAGACAGTCCTGCTTGGATTTTTGCCTGATATGCATTTCCAAAAGCAGTAATGCCTCATATAATATTAATTTGGATGTAGTCCTGCTTGCTCCTTATTTATCCAAGCAGCTGGCTAATAATGCAAGATACATCTACATTTGATTCTTGCTTTTACTTACAGTTGATTTTTTTTTTTAAAAAAATGCATGCAAATAATCTAGAGCAGTCATTCTCTACCTTTTTTTAAAATCATGGCCATAACACAAAGAAAGAAATACGGGCTGAACCAAGACTGTGTAAGTTGCATAACTAACCTTACAAGGGGGTTTGTGAAGAATTGTTTCTGATCAATGCCCCCCTTCAAATGTACCACAGGAGACAATATAACCCCACCACCACCTGCACACACGGAGAACGGGGATTACAGTTCAAGAACAGCCTAGCTGAAATTGTTTTTGGCTGGTCCTAATTCAGGCAAGAGGTGGTGGGTATAAATTAGCAACATCCAACTGGGTCTAAAGGGGTTTGAGATCTGTATGGCCCTGCAGATTTTGGTGGCGTGAAAACGCTACCCTCGCCAGACCATTTTAGAAATCACGAGGAACTGTGGGACCTGCTGTCTAACCGCATCGAGAGGACCACCAGTTGCTGATCTCGCTGCATAATAAGGAACTGTCTCTGGTGTTGAATATGCTGGATATACAGGAATAGGAGAACCATGTTTCTGGTGGTTGTGGTTCATACTTTTTCAGGTAGGAGGTATTCATAAATCACTCCAAGACCTCTGTTACTGTAAGGCCACTGGTGTAGCTCTACAGCAATGAGCACCCGCATTCAAACTACACCTGTAAATGATTTTTTAACATAATCTGTGATGTGACCTTTTTTAAAGAAAAGATATTAGCACCGCTTCTCCCCCCTCATCTTCTTTCTGATATTAGCAAAGTGTTGAAATCAACTTATTTAGCCAGATGTTACTGTTTGGCTGGATCAGAAAACACTATAAGGATCATAAAGGATTTCTTTTACTCTCACATGGGAATCACCTGAGCAAAAGCAACACAGACCGATGCTTTCCAAGGGACTGGCATGAACCACATCCTTGCGAAGCGACCACCGTCCGTGAAGCCCTGAGGCTGGCTGGCTGTATCAAGAGGCCAATGATGCTTCTGAACGTAAGAAAACACTTTTTGGAAGCAGGGGAAATGGTAGAAAAAAACGAGACTAGGGAAATGAAAGGCGAGTCATTTGGCAGTAGAAAGCGGTGACTAAGAAAACACCTGATTAAACACCACAGAGTGCAGTGACAAATTAAACAACGGTTTCATTTTAATGTCCCCTCGTTCCTGCAGTCCGCTGGAGAGTCATGAGGTGTTAGCTTCTCATGCTGTACATGTCTTTATCTTCAGGGCTGGACTGGCCGTAGTCCATGAGGCTGGGGTCTGGTTTAAACTTTGAAGGCTTCGACACATCTGATAAATATAGAAAAGCGTTAGAGGGTGGGGGGGTGTGAGTGTTGGAGACTCATCTACTAACGAAATACAGAGCCAACATGAGCCCCAGAGTCCCGGGAGGGGCCTGCCCTCCCCACCACTTTCTTAAATGTTTCCGGGACTGGACACACGCACGCCGAGCAGCACTGTGTCGCTGAATTTGCCTAACCAACTTATTTTCCAGCCATGCCACTGATTTTACGAGGAGGTGGTGGGACGCTTCAGCCCCTGAAACTTGGCTTTCTGGGATTCTCCAAAGGCCCATATTTCCATTCCTGTGACATCATCATTTGGTGGCTTCTCTGCTTTGTGTATTCCCTGCCATCCTAAGCAGGTGAAACATATCCTTCAAGGATTAGTTACCAGCTATAAGCTCTGAAAACTAAAATCTGCTAATATTTTTGGTCTCGTCAGGGAGGGACGTTTGACTTCTGAACATGATCCAGAGTGTCTTGTAGAATTTTATAGCGCCTCAGGAAAAATCAGAAGCCTGTGTTCCTCACAGCGGACATAGATCCCCTCAAGAGTTTTGTTCTGAGTGAACCAGATAAATATTCTGTACTTTGCAAAAGTAAGAATTAGGAAAAGGCCACCTGGCCCTTAAAATAGCCCAACTATAAGAGTAGAGTGATACCTTTTTTGGACTTGTAATTACTTCTTTGTGTAATTAGCAAATCCTTTGTCTGAAGTTTGGAACGGAAAATTCCAACCATGCATGTGCACGCGCACACACACCAAATGACATTTGCAACCTAGGCAAATCACTTCAGGCAGGCAGACCTGGTCCAGACATCTGCCATGAATTTTTGACATTCTTATCTACAATTTTTCTATACTGTCCATGAAGAGTGGCATCCAACCTGATGGAAAAGCAAACAGCAAAGCGTGCTGCTTCTATACTGCCTCATAGCACTTAAAGCACTCTCTAGGCGGTTTATAAGACGCAGGCTACATGTTGCCTTCCTTTCCAGCAAGCTGAGTACACATTTTACCAACCTCAGAAGGATGGAAGGCTGAGTGAACCTCAAGCCAGCTACCTGGGATAGAACCCCGGGTCATGAGCACAGTTTTGGTTGCACTGCAGCAGTTTAACCTCTATGCCACGAGGCTCCTAATGAAGTGGGATTTACTCCATCATCACCCTCATCATCTTTAAACAGCAGAACTGGAAGGGACCCTTTGGATCATCGAGTCCAGCCCCTTGTCAGGGAGGCACAGTGGGGAACTGAACTCTCAACCGCTGGCTCTGTAGCCAGATGCCTAAACCACTGAGCTATCCACGAAAGCTTGCAACTGGTTTGGTTTATTTCAAGTGGTCCAATAAGCGGTCTGTCAGGTCTGCTTTGACTTGGGTTCCTACCCTGAGCAGGAGGTGGGACCTGATGGCCTTAGAGGCCCCTTCCAACTCAATTCTTCTGTGATTCTATGGTTGAAAGGTTCCATCCCAGACTTCAGACGAAGGGTCTGCTAATTACACAAAGGAGTAATTACAGGTCCAACAATGGTATCACCCTACACTTAAAACTGTAAAACTAACAATCTTCTTCTGAACATCCTTTAAATAAGCCAGCATACTGAATCACTGGAGGAAACAGGAAATGCATAGAAAAATGAGAGAAGTACTCTTCCATATAGCTGAATCGTGTCCATGCAGGGCATGGACAGCCCTACTTGGAGTTGGAATGTGCTTCCCAAGAACGGATCTGGAACGAAGTTCGGTGGTCAAGCAGAAAGACGTTCCCTGCCTCCTTCTTGGGCATTGTGGGAGATTTTGGCTGCCGGCAGCTGGCCCGCCCTGTCAGCACCCCCAGGACCTACTGATCAGGAAGTAGCGACGCTACTTTGGACGCCACACCTGTTCTGAGACTTGGCGCCTTCTCTCCAGGCGTCAGAGAGATGGAATCTTTTTGGCCAAAGGTCCTGGTGGCACGAAACTGCATCTCCAGTGCTTCTGCCTTTCCCTGGGATGCATGGGGGGCCCCAGAAACCTCCGAAATGCTCTGCTCTGTTTTCAACCCTGGGCTGGAATCTTCCTGCAGGTGAAAGAAAAGCCACACAAGTCCTATCTTTTAATAAACGGTGTGGTTTCTAACTACAAGAGTTATAGAAAAAAGGTATTTTTCCCCATACAATCATTGGTACATCCAAGTATTATCTCTTAAAACAGTAGCTTCTATTAATACTCTATCAAATTTCAGCATGGAAGAGGTACTTGGGCTTCAGGTATAAGGCCTGGGACGAGGCTTTAAGACAGCTGCATAACTGGCTATCTATGGCAAATAAGAATTGCCATTTAAGTAGGAGAATATTTATTCATTTGGTTCTTCTCTTTCAATTAGACTAGGATACGAGGGTCATTTGTGTAGTGTAGGGGATAGAGTGATGGACTAGGACTCGGCAGGCCCGGGTTCGAATCCTTGCTCAGCTACAGAAACTCACTGGGGGAGAGGAACTGGTAAAACCACTCCCTAAATATCTCACTGACCTCAAAAGCCCTAGTAAGGTCACTAAAAGTCAATTCCAACTTGACAGCATAGAACATAACTCAAAAAGGGTGATTCTGCCTGCACATTGACAGTAAACACTGCAGATTTTCAAGGCTAGCTCTGCTCTGAAGCGTTAGTCCAGGAAGAATGGGGCATGAAGTTTATGTGTTATTTTCCTTTCACTACCCAATAAGTTAGGAGATTCTGGAGGATGTTGTTATGCAAATCAATCAAATTCACTTCTCAGGCTAATACATAGACCTGAATGCAGTTAGGAGGTCCCATCATCAACTTAGAGCTGCAGAGCTGGAAAGGACCCTATGGGTCATTAAGTCAAGGAGTCTGGACTCGACCTCTGGCTCCATAGTCAGATGCCCAAACCATTGAGCTATCCAGCACTTCTGGCTGCAAACCATTTGCAGCTTACAATGCATATAAAACTGCAGGAAATAATGCAGTTAGACTAAAACTCGCCAACGGAAGATGATCGGAGCCATCCATCTTTAATCTAAACTACTGGCTGCACTTGGGATGGATTACAATTCTTTTGAATGATTTAAGATGGTATACCCAATTATTCAGTATTTGGATCATTAATTATCTTTTAAAATATAATTATTTGTGTATGGGGGAATGTCTTATTTAGAAGAGGCATCTCTCTCTCTCTTTCTCATACTGTTGTTGGTGAGGAGCCCCTTCTCTCAGGAAGGAGATCACACTGCAGTAGCAGATAGCATGGTTTGCATGCAGAAGATCCCAGGTTTGGGTCTTGTTAGATAAAGACTGGGAAAGAGCTGAAGGAAAAGGGCTCTTTGTGAGACCTGTTGTTAGAGCAGACAATACTGGTCTAGCTGTACAAACAGCCTGGCCTGTGATAAGGCAGCTCCCTGCATCTGTAAATTGACACAAACATAATCCATCAGCTGGCTGAGACATCTTTAAACTAAGTGCTACTATAACCCTAGATTAGATGAAAAGAGGGTGGGTAATGGCCTCTCTTGCTCATTTTTCAAGGGAATAAGCCACATGTACTGGCAGCATGTAACAAATCATAACAAACAAAATGGACAAATCTGAAACTGAGCTGATAGCCTTGATTTTCCCAACACAGATAGTACAACTTTGGGGTTCCTGGAACCTCATAATGCAGTAAAGCAGTGGTTCCCAACCTTGTGCCATCCACGTGTTCTTGGACTACCATTCCCAGAAGCCTTTGCCACCAGCTGCGGTGGTCGGGGTTTCTGGGAGTTGCAGTCCAAGAACACTTGGGTGACCCAAGGCTGGGAACCACTGCAACAGACTGATGCTGGAGAGCTGCAACATTTTGTCCTGGTCACATACTTAAAATGTCATCCACATGGATTAAAAAACATGTACTGATTGAGTTCTGGATTTCTTTCTGGCCACACTTGAAATTTCAATGTGCTGAAGGTTAGACATAGTTCTAGTGACCCTAATAGGGCTTTCAAGGTAAGCGAGACATTTAAGGAGTGGTTTTACCAGTTCCATCACTCCATTAGTGAGCTTCCATGGCTGAACACGGGATTCGAACCTTGATCTCCAGAGTCCTAATCCATCACTCTACGAACCCTGATCTCCATCACTCTATTGACACCATACTTTGTACCTTTAGCTGGGATCCTAATGGCAAGAAGCAATGGGGTTCTGTTTGGAACAATTCCTGCCCCACCCCATTTTAAAAAACAAGCAAACTCAATATCGCAAAAGGTGGAAACTCTTAAGATGACAATATTATGAAACAGCTGCCTTACGATTCTAATTCTGTGAAAATTCTACCATAAAACCTGGATTTGGGCTGAAATGTTCCACTGATGGGCATGAGGGCTGGTCGCAGCATGGATCCAAAAGAGGATCCATGGATCCCAAATATGTACCTGAATATGCATGACTCAAAGGTACATCTTGAAAAACGCAAGAGGCTTACCTGAGCATCTCTCTCCTGGGCATGTGGCATCTCTGCAGGAGATTTTTTGCTCCATAGTGATCCTGCTGCTTCATAGGTTGCGTGGCTCACAGCATAAACTTTTCCACCCGTTACCTAGTTTAATTTTAGAACTGTTATTGTACTTTCAGATTATTCTGGAGTAGGCAAGGCTAATTGACTTCTCCAAATAAAACAGGATGATTCAGTCAGCAGAGGAATTTATACATGGCAATCCATTAGAGGCCTTCAACTTGAATTTCAAACTTTGACTGATAAACAACAAGATTCTTAAAACAAAATGGGAAACTTAGAAAGCATGTCAAGAAATCACAAGTCTTAAAAGAGGGCTTACCTTGGCAATAAGTACTGATTGTGCTGGATAGCAAACACATACACCCAGTGTGCCAAGTCCCAAAGGATAGGCGATTTTCTTAAACTTGGACCCTAACAAAAACAAATGAATTATTAAACCAATACTAAGCAACAATCAAACTGACAAGGCTTGATGTGACTGCATATCGCCTGAAGATTTACTAGTAGATCCTAATCTATATTTGGCTCACTATAGTGACCTAGACTTGATCAACACTTTCACCTAGTTACGGCAACTTCCCATGTTCCTCTTTCAAGTTTTGTAATTGCACCAACTATTCCTAGTTTCCCCCAAATCTTCTACAGTTTGTGGGAATGAAGCATCAGAAGGATCCAGGAGCAGAGTCGGTTTTAGGTCTTATCATGAGGCTCTGCACTCTTCATCAGCTACACACATGCTGAAGGATGAACATGGATATAGCTGTAAATGAACTTAGATGCAACTCCTAACACCACATCCATATAAGAAGTACTCCCATGAATAGGAAAGTTTTTTTACTGACAGTATTAACATATTGCACAGTTAACACAAATATTTCCTTGCATGATTTCGGCTACTGCAGCTGCTCACGTATAAGCAAAATGGCCTGCCTATGAGCCATCTATCGCCTAGATTTTTAAATAGAATAAATCTTTTAATACATGTAAACTGAGACTATGCAACTCCTTACCTTTCCTTGCTAAGACAAGGCCAGTGAGTCCTGAAACTGTAATCACACCAACTTTGGGAAGAAATTCTGGAGGTGGGTTCTTCAGATAAACATAGGCATCTTGAAAATAAGGAAAACACCTTACTTCAGTATTATTTTCTGATAATTGGCATAACATAGTGATGAAAACATGTTTCAAGCCTCAAACCACTGGAACATGCATCAAACGGGTTGTATTCTCAGTGGGACTTGATCTTTAAGGAAAACAGGGTTCTTTCCTCCCCCCCCCCGAATTTTAAGCTGGTTTCTGATCCAAACAGCCGAATGAGGATCAACAGAGATGATGTTTTAAGCTTTGCATATACTCACCCACCTTTTCCAAACTGTATGGAAGATATTATTCCATTTTTGACAAAAAGGTAGGCATCCTGTACAAACAGAAAAGACAGTTTTCTCTGCCTAACCTTTACAGGATTTACAGCAACAAAGTAATCTCTTTGGTTTACAAATGTCATCACTGACAGTGTTTAGGCAATTTCCCATTTTATAACTGGTCTTCTCCATTTCGGTGGAAGAGATTTCCAACAAAAGAAAACACCCACAGAATTTGAGCGCATGGGATTACAGCACACTGCAGATTATCACAGGAAAAAAGATTACTAATGTTGTGACGAGTTATTTCTGTTAACACTGCCCAGAGTTCTTATGAAGAAGAAAAATACACAGAGGAATTACTCAAAACTTACGCCACAAGAGGTCACTCCAACCCAAGTTGAGAAAGACAAGAAAAAAAGCAAGAGACATTCTTAAAATTTATGAGAATAAAAAGATTTGAGGAGTTAACAGAATCAGACCTAAAACAGGAACACCTTTGATTCTTGTTTCTAACTTTTGACTACAAAGATGGCAAGCACGTAAGTTCAAAATTAGCAAAGATGCAGACAGTTATTCAATCTAAGAGTGGGACAGAGTGTCCCTTACTGAAAACAGAGGTGGTCACCACAAAATGGAGCAAACCACACCACACCATGATCACCTCTTATATTGTTTACACCTAAATAAATATTTGCTCTTCCATTTCAGCTCTTATTGACCTATGTGCACACTTGCAGAAAAAAGCCTGTACACAAAATCCTGCCACGTTACAATGATTCATATTCTTACCTTGAAGCCATTAATGTAGTGACTTGTTGTTTTTCTTACTACTGAAATTCCAGTTTGCAAGCGACCTGGCTCTTCTTCAATGTATTTTGAATTCAAAGGTGGAGCATTATAAATCGGAAGCTGGAAGAAAGAGAGAGCGCACAGTTTCAGCTGCAGGATAGCAGTTTAACCACTGCACAACCAGGGTGGATTTGATGTAAACCAGGCTGAATTTTTTAAAAAAATCAGATAAAACCTGAATTTTAAAACCATTGATTTTTATGTACCCTACAATGATTTAAATCACAGGAGGTAACCATCAATGATTTTTTTAAAATTAAATCTGATTTTTAAAAAAATATTATCCACCCTGTAGTGATTGAAAATGATTTAAATCAAATCCACTCTGCATATAACACACAGATGCTATGAGATGCATACTGGAGGCATCTTTGGGAGAACAAATATGAATTTCACTATAACATCAAAATCTACAAATGCCTTAGGATGCTGTAGCCAAACATTCCTCCTACAGGGTCATATCTGAGTTGTAGTTTAGAGGCAAAACTTCCTTCCAATATAAAGTACATATTAACATTTATTTTTTTTTTGCTTACCACACATTAATACTTTAGAAATCTCATTTTTAAAAATTGCTTTGAGGAATGTTTGACACTGGGGACCCTCAAAGGGAAGGCTAACATTTTCATAGAAACTTAGATATTAACATCAAGTTCTCGCTTCAGCCCCTCTCTTCTGTTTGATCATCTGCAATAGCCTATGATATAGCATCCTAAAAGCAGAATAAACTTGTGCTGGAATAAACAATAGGGTAGGGGTTTGAAACATCTGGCCCTACAAAGCTAAATGGACTGAAATGCCCACCATCTTTCATCATCCACTCTAATTCTAATGGGACTTTCAGTCCACTGACATCTGGAGGGCCACATTTTCTCTCTCCCTTCTTAAAGGCTATATTTTCCAAACATAACAAAGTTCTCCAGTCTCCTACAATATACTGTTTCCTGCAAACCAATATCTATATACCTTGCATCTGTTTTTTTAATGATCAAAGAGGTCTCAGAAATCTTACCTGATGTGTCTTAACTTGAGGAGACTGTGATTGTTCTTTGCTGGAAGCAGAGACATTAGGAGAGGCCAAGGCTGTGGGAGTAGCTGCCCATTTTGCTACCTGGGGGTGGCAAGTAGAGGCCAAAGGAAATAAAAGAATATGGATTTGCCTGGTTAACAAAAATCAGTTCGTCCAGCTTGGACTTAGTTCCAAAAAGACAGCTGCTTTCGCATCAGGCTGGATTTGATTTAAATCAAATCGATTTATATTATAATTGATTAAATTATGTTTTATTTTTTAAAAACTACTTTAAACAATTAAAAAAATTAAACTGGATTTTTAAAATAAAGTGCCTGCAGACTAGAGATTTAAATCATGATTTATATTGTGATTTAAATTGATTTGATTTAAATCAAATCCACCCTGATTGACTTTAAGACAGGATTTCAGATTGATAAACACGGACAAGGGACCTGCTAAAGAATATGACCTGTTTGGTTCTGCTTCCCTCTCCCCTTTCTGAGAGACAGTATTACAGTATGGGAGGTGTAGCATTACTGTTATGTCTGAGCTCTGGATAACTGATTGATTGAATTAGACAAGCAAGCCAGGATCCAGAAACTGACATACAATCCTGGTTTAGTTTGCTACATACAATAACAATACTCCCAGGTTTGGGTGCTATAGGAACTTATTTGTTTTGTACTCATTCTTGTGAAGGGCGGGAGGAGTGAAATGGGCTGTGTGCAGCTCATTTGCATAATGAGGATCACTAAAGAATGTAAGCAATCTTAACTTCACTGTCCCATAAAGCCACTTCAAGAAATTAGTCTTAAAAAATAAACACACAATACTACTACTACTGCTGCTCCTTCAACAGGTCAGTTCTGACTTAAGGCAACCCTTTTCATGGTTTTCTAGGTAGAGATTATTCAAGAGTGGGTTACCATTCCCTTCTGGAGGTACCCAGAAGAAGCCGATGCAGCTTGCCCAAGGTCACAAAGGCTGGCCTTTCTCCCTAGAGGTGCAGTGGGGAATCGAACTGCCAACCTCTAGCTCCATAGCCAGTTACTTAAACCACTGGGCTATCCAGCCCGCAGACACAAATGCATGTACTGTATTTCAACAAGCAAAACCCTCGTTAGTGTGAATAGCAAGGAATGTTCACAATGAAACAGAACCAAAAGAGTAATTGAGCAGATCATCTAAAACATATTTATATGGTAGGGAAGCTGTTTACTGTGTCTTCGAGAACTTTTGTTTCGTTGAGCTGTGTAGCCTGAAATTACTTTTTCTGGACTATCGTTTCTGAAGTACCCATAAGCTCCTTTGTGTAAGAACTGACATTTTAACTTGCGTTACTCTGTTAAGCACTTTATATGTTGTGGATGACGGATGATGATCTTAAAGGTGCTGCTAAACTGTAAATCACTGTCAAAACCCTTACAATAAAAAAAAAATCCAACCCTCCCTGAGACCAAAACCACTAGCAATATTTGGACTATATTTTTGGTCTCATATTAACATATTTTCCCCATGACGTCTGCTATCACCCCATGCAACACCTTGCTTTCTCATCGGAACTCTAGCGACCTTTCAGGAATCCAGCAAATGTGTTTCCACTTTATTTTTATAGGCAGTTCTGGAGACCCTAGATAAGGAAAAGAACATTAGAGCAGTGCTGAATCAGGCTTAGTGCCTGCTATTACAGCATCTCACTTCCTAAAATGATCATCAGACGTTCTCCAAAAGCGTCAGCACTTACAGATATTTTAAATAAAAGAAAGGCCACGAGGATTGTGTGCCAGTATAATGGCTAGAACTTAAATACATAGTCTCAGAAGCTCTTCATTAAGGTCTTCACATTATATAGTTTGAATGTCATGTCACAGATATATCATCTATCATGGTAAAAGAACAGAGTCCACACTCCATTCTTTTTCTAATTTTTCCAGAAAAACAAAAACAAAAAACGGCTTTTTTGGGGGAAAAAAACACACGTTTTCCAGACCTTTTCATATCTAAGGTCTCCAGATGTTCTTGGACTACAACTCCCGGAAATCCTGGCCAGCCC